TCCCACTCTTAGTGATATATCATGGCCAACATGGAAAATCATGTGGCAGTTCCGCCAATAACTAAAAGTAGAACCACCATATAACATAGCTGTTTTATTACCAGGAATTGAACTAAATAAAATGGAATCAGTGTACCAGAGGCATGAACATGCTATGCTTATTGCACAGCAGTCAAGGTAAGGACTCGAAGGCAATGTGCTGGAACAGATGAATGGATTAAAAAAATGTGGACAGTAACACACTTCAATACTATTCAATCAAAAGCCAAATGAAGTCCTGTCATTTGTGGAAAATAGATGGAAACGCAGGATAGTGGAATAAATGAAATAAAATGGGCATAGAAAATAAATATTGCAGATCCTCACTTGTAGAAACAAAAACGAACCAAAAAGTCAATCTCAAGAAGCAAAGACAATGATGATGGCTCAATGCTGCAAAGATGAGCAGTGCGCAGGGACTGAGATAACAGGTTCCACAACGCAGTTACTTAGCAGAAGATGGTTTTAATGTTGTACAGTGCAGTAGTATAACTACTGTCCACAGCAGCTTTGTGTGTATTTCCAAATAACTAAGAAAGAGGGAACCAATGATTCTCAAAACAAAGAAATAGTGTTTGGGAACACAGAAATGCTAATATCTTAATTTGAACATTACATATTCAATGCATACTTCAGCTTACATTGTACTCTATGGATGTATAAATGTGTTTTCAGTTAAAAATAATTTGTGTAATATGTACCTGGGAGGGTGAGGCAGGAGGAGTAGCTTGGGCAGCATAGTGATGTCTTGTCCCACTCAAATCTCTGTCACTCTGTCTATCTATTTGTCAATCTACAGTTTTTTAAAAGGATGAAGTTAGAATTTCAAATGAGTCTCCTACCCCTAATGTGACCTAGTGTAATTCCTCGGTCTCAGCAAATTTTTCTTATGAGTGTCCCTGTGTCTTCTTGAAGATCATTGTGGGGATTAAAATAATTTAGTGATGAAAAATGATAAAGCTTCTTTGCAAATATTCAGTAAAGATAAATATAGTAGTACTTTCTCATTGGAACCACCAGCCCACAAATAATGACATGGAGCTTAGTATTAATTATGAAAGCTTGGCCTTAGCATAGGCCTTTTCCCAACCAGCTCTTATAACTCAAATTAGCCTGCTTCTATTAGTCTATGTTCTGCCACATGACTTGGTTACCTCTCCTCTGTTGGACTTGCTCTGTCCAGTTTATTATCAAAACCACTTTGAGTATCCCACCTCTCTTCTTCACAGAATCCTCTCTCTCCCTGGAAATCCTGTCTATTTTTCCCCATATTGGTCATTCATCTCTTTATTAAACCAACCACAATGACACATCTTCACACAGTGTAGACAAATATTCAGTAACAGATGAAATTTAACATTATAAGTAAAATTCAGATTAAGCATCACTGCAGTATCCTTGAAGTGATATTTTTATACATGAATCTTTGCCTGGATCTCTGATCACAATTCTTTTAAACAAACAAGTTACTTTAAAGGAAGGTGAGGACATTTCCCCTATACAAATGGAAAGTACCAATGGATGGCTGAGGTTTGCTAAGCATCTCTTGATGGAATCATTAATGCAATTCATTGTCTCTTTAGTTCAGATGAATTAGGAAGAAACCTCTTTAAAGGGAGTTTCTGCCCTCCTAGTTACACATATCCACTTGATGCCAACTTCCATTAATTTCAGAGTTCTTTGTCAGTAAGACAAGAGCCTAGCAATCAAGAACACAATAAGTGGACATGTTTTTCTCTCATAACAATGAGAAGGGTTTGTATAAGACTTGAAGTTAATCGCGAATCTTGTTCTTATACAAAGTTGGCACTTTCCTGCTCTAGGAAGGAGAGGGTAGGCATTCTTTTCATATTTGCCAGCTGAGGTTAAGAGTGGACCAACAGTTATTATAAGGAGGTAAAGTACACAATAATTTATTAAACTTGTTCTATAATAGCTGCAGTAAGAAATAAGAAAATTAATACCAATGCAAACACACTACCACAAAAGGTCACATAACAATAGGTATTCCTGTCAGCAAATCTCAGCCATCCACTGGTACTTCCCCTTTGTATAGGTGAAATTTCCTCACCTTCCTTTAAAGTAACTTGTTTGTTTAAAAGAATTGTGATCAGAGATCCAGGCAATACCTACTGTATAGTCCCAGTATATTCATTGTGAAGACAATTCCATGTCTTATTCCTAGGACTCTGAGCTGGGCTACAACCAGCCCTCTTGGTGAACAGCAATGAGATACCTAGTTCTTTACAGGTCAGAGTGGGGCAAGCAGGTGTAGCAAGTTAGTCAGTGTGTGCAACAAATGGAAAGAAGACACTAGCATAAAGTAAACCTTTGTCCAGTTTTCTACATGACCTATCATTTCTGATTGTCTTTTTGCTCTTCTCTGTTTCACCCCCCCCCAAGAAACCTCTATCATCACTGTAAAGCCTAATCAATAATTACCTACATCCTATCCTTAGGTTCCCAAAGTTTGTACATTAATGAAGAACAGGAAAATTGTCACTGTTGGTTTCTTTTTTTAACCTCAAAGACCATGCTAGCGTCATCACACCCCTTCTAAAGGAAGGGTAGAGGAAATAGCTTATTAGACATCAAAATCACTTTTGAGTACTTCCTAAACCCTTCCAGAAGTCAGGGCTGCCTATGTTGGAAATGTTCTATTGGAAAGGAAAGCTGTCTTCCACATATAGACAGCACTGAATTCTGCCACATGCTTTTTCATCAAAAGCTTCACTTTTGGTTCCTCATTAGCACAGATCCTCTCTCTTAAAGTGCTCCCTCTGATGTGTTTTCACTTAGTGGTGACAACTCGTTTCAATTTTTTATCCTCTGTTCTTCATTTTTTTGCATAAAAATATCTGAATTGATATATATATATAACCAATCTCTACAGAGTTGTATCAATTCATTCATCAGCTAAACGATTCAGTAAATAAATGTTAAGTTTAGATAGGTCATGCACTTTGAAAAGATACAAAACTTGTATAAGATTCTTTGAGATATAGGAACAAAAAAAAAACAATGAACACAGTGACACATCTTCGTGAATGTAGTTAATGCCCTTGATTGCACATTTTAAAATGAAAGTGTTCATTTTACATATACTTTGCATCCATTATAAATGTTTATAGAAAACATTCTTATCTTCATGATGTCCAATGTCAAATTGAAAGGACAGATACATGCAGAAGTGTTGTTAGTGACAGGACAGCGGTATGTAAGGATGGAAGCTGTGAACTAAGCCTGTCTGTGGGGTTCTGGGGATCTAACATGGGATTTGAACATACAAGCAAACATGCTAACCCTGAGATGTACCCCATTCACATAAACTAAGCTAAACAGTCTGTGTTTCCACCAATGATGATGTTGGTTAAGGATGGTTGGTATTGGAGAGGCTTCAATAGGAAGCCTTCAGACCTTGAAAGTGAGATATCCTTATACACCCTTGAAGCCCTCGTGGTCCTCAGCATCTTTCTGAAGTTGCCTGCAACCCTGCATGGAAAACAAGCAATGCCTTCTACATCCTTATATCTCCCAGGGCTAGTACAAAGTATGGCTCATAGCAATGTTTTGGTAAAACATTTTTAAAATACATGAGTGAATGATCAGGTCACAATCTACCATATCCTCCGGGGACCATAGGTCAGACTCACTTCTCCCCTGCTGTCTCTACTTTGTTAAACTGGAATCTGTTCCAAGTTCACGTTCTCAAAGGCTTCTCAACAAGTGCTGTGCTGGTGCCTGTGGAATCCTTCTCCCTCCCCATGTATGCCCATGGCTTCCCTCCCTACGGGAGAATTGTTCTGCCTTCACAACCATTGGGTCATACCATCCCTGGTGTGTAATCCACTGATAATTCTATCAGTTAAATCCCTATTTGGGATACTGTCTTCCCTCTTTAGAATCTTGGCTTGATTTTTATTAAAATGTTTTCTGTTTATCTCAGCACTAAGCTTGCCTCTTACTACGATTGTTGAGTATGTGGAACACATTTATGAAGAAGTCTTTCAGTGTCCAATTCACTAATTTAACCATTTCTCTCATTTATATATCTCTTTTGGTTAATTTTGTCCTATTCACATGTCACATTGTGTTATTACTCATGACCAGAAGTGAAGCCCACATGTATTAACGCCAGGAACATTCCTCATGAGCCTTCACCATGTTAATTTCTGTCTCAGGGTCTTTTTCTCCTTGAAAAAAAATCCAATTTACAAGATTCATCCTAGATGTGTCAGTTTTGTCCCTCTCATCCAATAATATACCTTGCTCTAAACTAAACTTTGTGGCGTCTATAAATCTGTCCATCTGTTTCTTGTCTCAGTGTGTGTGTGTGTTCTTAGGTTACTCCCTTTGATACAACTGATTGCCTTCTCTTATCGTTTCTCTGTCTTATACTCCTGTAGACTCTCAACTGATTGCTTTGCTTCCAAAATTCTCCTCTTTCAATTCACCATTCAGTGTTGCTTTTCTGGGATCTGGCCTTGAAATAAGTGTAATCTAGCAAGCCATTCACTCGGTACGGTTCTCTCATCCAGGCAGAAAGGCAGAACTTAATCGGATATTCACCATGATCCAGGCACTGTAGCACCATCTGGGAATACTACTGTGAACTGAACAGACAGAGGCCCTGTCCTTACAAAGCTTATAATAGAATATAATAGAGGTTTGTGGGATGGATCAGCAGAGGGTTTACAGGCTGGGGAAGGGAAAGTGCTTGAATCAAATGATCATTCGCTTATGTAAGCTCCAGCAGTCTGTGATATGTTCTACAAACAGATTTCAGCCTAACAAGGTGGAGATGGGAGGGGAGAAGTGAATCTGACCTATGGCTCCCAGAAGATGTGGTGGATTGTAACCTGATCATTCATTCATGTATTTTTAAAATGTTTACCGAAATATATTGCCATGAGCCATACTTTGTACTAACATGTCTTCTACATCCTTATATCTCCATGCAGGGATACAGGCAACTTCAGAAGGGATGTTGAGGACCACGAGAGCCCTGTGGGCATTTAAGATTGAGTTCTTAAATTGTTCTATAGGCACTTACAAGAATTGAAGAAGGAGGTATGACGTCATAGTCACCATGGCCAACTATCCGTATGGGCAGCCTTTCCCGGAAGCTGCAGGACAGGCACCTGGAGCACCCCCAGGTGGCTACTACCCTGGACCGCCCCATGGTGGGGGCCAGTATGGCAGTGGACTTCCCCCTGGCGGTGGTTACGGAGGTCCTGCCCCCGGAGGGCCCTATGGATACCCCAGTGCTGGGGGACTCCCTTCTGGAACTTCAAGTGGACCATATGGTGGTGTACCTCCAGGGGGGCCCCTACGGTCAGCCACCTCCAAGTTCCTATGGTGCCCACCAGCCTGGACCTTATGGACAGGGTGGTGTTCCCCACAATGTGGACCCTGAGGCCTACTCCTGGTTCCAGTCAGTGGATGCCGATCACAGTGGCTATATCTCCCTCAAGGAGGTGAGGCAGGCCCTAGTCAACTCCAACTGGTCCTCATTCAATGATGACACGTGCCTCATGATGATAAACATGTTTGACAAGACCAAAACCGGCCGCATTGATGTCGTCGGCTTCTCAGCCCTTTGGAAGTTCCTCCAGCAGTGGAAGAGCCTCTTCCAGCAGTATGACCGGGACCGCTCTGGATCCATTAGCTCCGCAGAGCTGCAGCAAGCTCTGTCCCAAATGGGCTACAACCTGAGCCCACAGTTCACCAGCTCCTGGTTTCTCGCTACTGCCCACGCTCTGCCACTCCTGCCATGCAGCTCGATTGCTTCATCAAGGTGTGTACCCAGCTGCAGGTGTTGACTGAGGCCTTCCTGGAGAAGGACCCTGCTGTACAGGGCAACATTCGGCTCAGCTTTGAGGACTTCGTCACCATGACAGCATCTCAGATGCTATAACCCAGCCTACCCAATGGGAGTGGAGCACACCAAGGGATGTGGCCTCTCTTCCTTTCCTCCTCTCAGGTCAGGTGAGCCCAGTTTCTGCAAAGTGGAATCACACTGAGCATGAAGGAGATTTGCTGGGACCAATGCCTGGGATTCCTCAACTCCCACAATCCTTATGTGTTAGCATTAGTTTACCTGAGGCTTTGCCTGCTCAAGAAGCTTGGACAGTCTGCCATTTTGGTCATATCTTATGAGGTTCCTGCCCTCCACAACTTGGACCCCTCATCGGCTGCCATGTTCCACTCAGCTTCAGTCCCCAGGGGACAGTTGTCACATCTTCCTGCCAATGTTTTTAATTTGCTTTTTTTCCCCATTTGGGGCCAAAAGTCTAGGAAGCTATTAGCTTCAATAAAAGACTCTACAGTTCCATGTTTCCAAAAAAAAAAAAAAGAATTGAAGAAGGCACTGGAGACTTCCAAAAGAAGTTATTTTCAGGATACAAGTTAAAGCTTTAGTTAGGAGCAAATTTGTTTGCCTCCTTCCCTGCTTTCCTTCCATAGCTTTCTCTTCCATAGACTCATCCTGTCCTGTCAACAGCATCCCTGCATCCTTCACTCAAGTTTACACGGAGCGTTTGTGCTTTCCACATGTCTGTGCTGAAAATGTTCCCTGTACTCCATTTTCCTCTCATTCTGCCACACAAACTTCTTCTCTCTCTCTCTCTCTCTCTCTCTCTCTCTCTCTCTCTCTCTCTCTCTCTCTCTCTCACACACACACACACACACACACACACACACACACGTGCATGCTTGTGCCAGCTACTAGCTATAGCCATTCCTTTCTCCAGGGAACGCTTCCTAATTCCCCAATATGATTTCTTTTTTTCAGTGCTGAGGTTGTAGCTCAAGACCCCACAAGGGCTAGACAAGAGCTCAGTCACTGAGATTCCACAGCCCCTTTGGTGTGACCCTGCTGTTGTTTCTCTGTTCCTCAGCAGTATTCACATCTTTAGTGATTTTAACATAACACGCCATGCTACATACCATGCCTTTTTAGTCATTTAAAGTTTCTTGAGTGAGGTCCCATGTTTGTTTGACTGTATAGTGCTGTGAGCTAAATACCTCCCCCCAAGGGGGAGTGGAGTCATGCTTACATCAGACTGTGCTGGTCTAGTTGACTGATTGGAATTTTTTGACTTCAGGGAGTTGGGAGTTTGCATGCCTGTGTAATCAAATTACACATAGCTATCACTAGCTCCTTAATAGCCATTTATTTCCCACCTTTGTGTCGGACCTAATATCTTTCTAATCATCACCTGGAACCTTTGGGGTACTAACTTAAAAGCACACTAGCTTCCAGCAACCCCACATGGCATCTGAGACCTACAGCAGAGATTTCCCAACTGTGCTAAACCCACCCACCTGATGCTTTCACCAATGGATTTGAAAATCAAGCAAACCAAACAGAAAGAAACCTTGATTCCTGACTTTCTTTTGTTCTGTAACTATAAAACCTTCATAAAATTGTTCTCCCAGTTGAGCAGGAGGTAACCTGAATTCCTGTTGCCAGGCCATGGTGACTCATATTTGGTTCAAGAATAAGTCCTATCTTATTTTCTCTGAGGTGAGAGCTATGTTTTATGATAATTGTCTCTGTAAGTAACATGGAATCAGTAGATGGCACAAAAATAGATTGAAATGTATGTTTAAATTAATAAAATGAATGATGAGCAGATGGAGTTTGTATTCAGATATGACCTCCCATGTGTCTTTATAAATGTAATCTAAATGTTAATAGTAACTTAGTTATGCACCAAGTATGATAAATAAAAACCCTTTAAATAAGTAGTTTTCAGACATCATTTAAGCTTTTAAATGAGAAGTAACCACATGGCATTAGATTCAATTCAGTTATCCAGACACCTAAAGTTAGGTAGCATACTCATTTCCAGTCTGATTGTTTCAGTTGCCTCCTGTGACGGCTATTTAATGATTCTATTTCAATGGCTTAGCCAGCAGTTAATCCAGAAATTTATGCATTGGGATCAAGATTCCAATCCTATCTTTATTTTCCTGTGTTTCAGGAGGCAAACTAGAATCCCAGCTGTCACATTCCATCCAGAAAACAATGCGAATTCCAGGTTGGAAGGAAATACGTTCTATGTATCTTTTGTTTATTAATGGAAAAGAATTGGGAAATGGAATTTTTAGGATCAGAATTTCAAACAAAATGTAAATTAAATCTAGATGGAATTCATCCAAGGAGTTTGGCGGAACATAGGAGTAATGACAATATGGAACTATGATCATTCTTCAAGAAATGCCCTATTTAGGGCTGAGCACTTCACAGTATCTTTGTCTTGGCATATAGATGTCTTGATAACTTTCAATGTCTTTTTTATCACCCAAAGTCTCATATATGCATCTATTTTTCTCAGCCTGTCCTCCATCTCTATGCTACTAACACATTTTTGGTCATCCTTCATAATTTGAATCAGAAGTTAATTCTTCCTTCAGCCTTCTCTGTATCAATTGCAGATTCACTGACACTTTAACACATTTATGTGCCCCTACACTTGCATATATACTCACATACACACAGGCAAGCATACACAAACATACATACATACATACATGTGCACAACTCACACAAGCATATGCACATATGCACCCACATACTGGCATAAACACATGCACCCACATACATATGCACACATTCATACAAGCGCATGCATACACTTATGCATACATGCACATATACACACAAGCATATATACAGCTTTTGATTTTTTGGGACAAGGTCTCACTCTGCAGTCTAAGATTGCCTGGAACTCATAGTATGTTCAAAGCTGACCTCCAGCTCACAGTGGTTCTCTTGGTTGTGCCTTCAAAGTCTGTCTGTAAGTTTCCATTTCATGGTCCAGTAGATTTCTTTATTTTTAAGATGGCTGGAAATTGTAACCTGTTCATCATTCACAGCCTTTCGTCATTGCAAGCTTCTGACTGATGCTGTCCTGGCCTCCCCATTTGATAAGGAAAAAATAAGGCACAGGACAGGAAACTGACTTGCTCACAATGGAACAGTGCAGATTTCCTAGTCCTTTCTTCAAGCCCCCCACCCTGTTGTATATATAGTAATGGACTTCCTGAACTGGTATTTCTGTGGACTTTAACTTACCACATGGTGACAGACCTATTCCTATGACTACCAGAACTCCTTGAGCATGTAATACTAACTTGAAATGAAATCATATAGGGCCACCCTGCTTTGCTGCCCCTTATTAAGTCTCTATGTTACTTGTGCTATGAGGTGTCTTCCTTATGGGGTCACATATATTCAGTGAGTGTTTCCATAGCAACCGGCAGGTGTGAAGAGTACTTTCCTGAAATGTGAGTATATGACTAGAGGTGGAGCCTCAAAACTGATTAATTTACATATTTCCACATTTGCCTTCCTCCTGTCCATGTGGAAAAAAAAAATCCTGATCTGCTTTTTCTAACAACTCAGGTTGCTTCTATGTTCGACATTCTCATTGCTTCTAGAGACCAAGGTTTTACTTTGCTTTCATTTTTGAAACCATTGTCTTGACTCATAGTATCTCTGTTTTGCATCTAGACTCTTGATGGCTTCCTAGCTTGTCTTCCTATTTCCAATGCAGTTTCCACTCAGCCATAAGAATGACATCTTTAAGGCCGGGTGGTGGTGGCACATGCCTTTAATCCCAGCACTCAAGACAGAGGCAGGCAGTTCTCTGAGTTTGAGGCCAGCCTGTCTACAGAGTGAATTCCAGGACAGGTTCCAAAAGCTACCCAGAGAAACCTTCTGTCTTGAAAACACCCAAAGAAAAATTACATCTCTAAAATATCATTTTAGATTGATTTCCCCAGCTAACATCTCCACGGCTTTTCACCCCCTTTTTGATGGAAGCCAGCTTCCTATGATCAACTACCAAGATGCTTCATAATTTAGACGCATCTCTCCTCACTGCACACTCTCAGCTCCTACTAAAATACTTACAGGTCCTCACATTTATTCATGCCTCTTGCTGTCTGGGAGTTTGTGGTTCTTGCCTCTCTGTCTGGCTCGCTTTCTTCAAGTGAATAATGGCCACGTGTTCCTCTTAGATGCCATTCTGTCAGAAATCTGTCCTGATCTTCCAGGACTAGAGTGACTACTTTTCAAAATGGAACCAAATCCATCCTGGCCCCACCCTAAGTAGCATTCATTTATCTCTGCCTCACTGTAATACTTATTTTCAAAGAAAGCATACATCACATTTATCACTGTTGCCCCAACATCTTGCACAGCTGGCTTATAACATGCATTCTTGAAATCATTTGTCAGATAAATGCTTGAATGCTTTTTTTAAACTTGGCACCCAGAATGACCAAAGGTCTTGCCTAAAGTCTTTTTCCAAGTAAATAAATGGTGAATCTGAGCTGTTAGCTCTCCCTTTGTACCTCTCCATTCTCTCCTGTAGTCCTGGCTCTTTTCTTCTCCATAGTGAAGGCTCACAAATATGTACTTTCAGTCCACAGCTCTCTTCAGAAATCACATCTACTGGTACATTAACATTTCTTCCTAGGACTATGCTCAAACTGTCTGTGCTCCAAGCCTCTTAAAAACATGTTACTAGCTGGGGTGTAATACATCTTTAATCCCAGAATTCTCAAGGCAGAGGCAGGCAGATCTCTGTAAATTCAAGGCCAGCATGGTCTATATATAGAGTTCCAGGACAACCATAGTGCATAATAAGACCCTGTGTTTAAAAAAAAAGGTAAAGTAATAAAGGAAGATACTAAATATCTATCTATGGCTTACACATGCACATACACATGTGTGTACACACATATGTACACACATGTACATACATACAAAAAAAAGACAGACTGAATTGGCATGGAACCAGCTCTTGTTCCCAATTAGTGTGCTATATGCTAACCAGATGTGAGCATAGAATTTTGGGAATACAAAGAGAAAGACCCAGCTCTACCAGGAAGACAAGATTAAAAACTCTTAAGGTAGCTACATAAAAGGCTTTACAGTAGAAATCCCAACAATATTCTTCTCCTTATATCTAGGAAGTCAGCAGTCGGTTGAGAGCTGTGTTCCCTCCTTGGTTGGAAGAGGGTTTTGACTCTGACTATAAACATCTGCCATTCCAATTTAGGCTTCTCCACAAGAGCTGCACTGTCGTCCTATTTCGGCTTCCAGCTTAGCTCCTCTGTTGCAAGCTTTGACTCCACAACTCTGGAATAATAAAATACAAGAGCATAGCTTGAAAATAGAGTGTGCATCTGCTGTAGATTGTTATTTTGGTCTAATGAGGACTTGCTGTTTCCTGAATTCCTATAATCATTTGATGAATTGTGCTGGTGACTAGCTCTGCAGGCTTTGAACATGTGGTACTTATTGGGGGTGTGGGAGGGAGATAACTCACCCTTTCCCCTGTGAAAACAGTCTTCCAGTGAAACTTTGTAAGGTTAAATGTTTGTATTGATCACTGGCTATATAGAGAAAGAGCAATGCTGCGATAGACAATTGTTTTGCGGAGGCAGAGGAGATTGGCCCCACCACACACTGAGCGCGCCTGTGTATAAACCATGGTAGGAGTTATAAAGATGGATAAAACAGTTAGACTCTCATAGTGTTTCTCAAAAGGATTCAGGAGACATAGCCACTCACAAGAAAGTACAATTCAAGGCAAGCTGCAATGAGGGCTATCCTAGGCATACTTATCCCATTCGTTGGTTTATGCTGGCTTAATTTACAATGAGCTTCCGTATGCATCGCCTCATTTGGTCCTCACAATAGGCCTGACAGACAGACACTATTATCTTCATTTTAAAGTTACAGATAATCCAGCATTTAATACCTTTGTCTGTTTACCTTGCTCTGTTTCCCACAGCTAGCGACTAGTGCCAAGTTCTAAAATCCAACCCCACAGCTGAAGGTCATGGGAGGTTGAGAATAACTTAAGTAGATACCACCAAGTTCCGTGGAGGATATGTGGCTTCAATTGTGGCTCCAGCTTCCAGATAAGTAGAGGTGAAAATTAAATGAATCTCAGAGAGAGAGAGAGAGAGAGAGAGAGAGAGAGAGAGAGAGAGAGAGAGAGAGAGAGAGAGAGAGAGAGCATGTGTAAAGATAACTGAGGCGGCGAGGGAATGCAAAGTAGCAAGGCTATATGTGGTCATTAAATTTACATCATCACAACTGATGCAACAAATAAAAACTGTGCACAATACTGAGTAATTTATATGATTCAAAAGTATTCTTGTTCTCACAGGCTACTGGTCTTGGAGAAAACCTATACACAAAGTGAGAGAGACTAAAAAGGATTTACTTAAAAGGGCTACTCGGAGGTACACCTAAGTGCCAGAGAAGTCAGGTTTTATTTTGGTTCATTTATATTTTCATTGATATATCGATTGGCTTCAGAGATGCCAGCTCTGGGTTGTGGGAAATCAAATTGCTCTAAAAGAATCGATGTTTTCAGAGGTATTGAACATGGAGTGAGTCCCTGAAAGTGTGTTGAAAAGTTCAGAGTGAGCAGGAACGCCTTGCTTTAACTGGGTGAGTGTTCTCAGGTGGGTGTGTGGTGTGTGGAGCTGCCAAACAGTGCTTATGAGGCTTGGAAAGGATTGAGGGGTTTAAGGGAAATCAAAGAGTTCTCCGTGTGAGGTGCTGAGCTATGCTGACTCATCCCATTCTGTAACCAACCAACCCCCATGAAGACAGACTGTGGAGGCGGATGCTGCCGTTAGAGCCAAGGCAGGCAGAAGTGCGACAATTGGATGTTGATTGAATCTAATGTGCCT